CTTAATGCGTGAACAAAGTAAATCGATCTCAGTCTCCAGTTCTAGAGTAGCAAGATCACGACCTCTAGAAGCGTTCCATAGTCTTCTACTGTATTATCCAAATAATATCCAGAAAGAGAGAATTTCGGATGGGCAAAATTTCAAGGAAAACTACAACTTAAATACGGCCAGCCCTATACCTATGTATATATAGTCATGTTTTCAAGGTAAACCCTTTTTTCAAAACCAGTTGGGTTTTTTTTCCACCAAGGAATTGTTTCCTTTATTTCCTATTATTTAGGGACAGTAGGGACTCATAATTTAATTAACAAGGCTCCTTATTATGGAATTTATTTTGAACTTCGAAATTAATTTCTACCATAATAAATTATGAATTATTCCACCAAAAATTCGTAATTGCACTACTTAGTTCAATTTCAAAAAAATTCCATAAAACCTTATTTAACTCCACATGTTAAGATTCAGATACTAATAAATCAAATTAAATTATTGACAATTTAATTTATTGATTACTTCCTTTAGACTTTTGCTTAACTTATTTCATATGTCGGATACAAAATTCATCGATCAAATTTACACATGAAAATTTATAAGCTTTCGTAAAGGAATATCATCAATCTTAAAATCGAGACGTAGATTCTATCAACTAATTATTATTTCGCCAATGTATATCATTATTGTCCAATTTACCAGCTTATTGAACCACAAAATAATCTCATCTTTTAATAAATCAAAACAATAAATGACACAAACAACTAATAATAATTATATCAAGATTAAGAGTATAAGTACATTGAATGGACTAGAGAAATTATTTTATTAAGTCAATATAAAATACTTATCTCTACTTGATCCGTTCAATACATACAAAATGTACTAGCACATGAAGTCGGTATTAAATCATTCTCATAACAAAGATAAATTATATTTAATCTTGTGCTACAACCAGTCCAATGGTTTGTCCAATTCCATCATTAAATTGTGAACATAAAATTATGACTTATAAGAATCGATGATTTAATCTTCCATGTATAAACTAAACTCTATACACTAAATCATCCACTATATATAAGCAAATGGCACACACAGATAAAAACATGATCTATTTAAAATAAAACTTTATTGCATTGAATGAATAAATAAATAATTATTCCATAAAGAATACTATAACAAACACATAATTTATAGTGTATCTTTAACACATTGAACAATAGTCATATCATTTAATGAAAGCTCCACAAGTCCTTCCGTTAGTCGTGAAAGATGTTTTTGATAATAGAAACAACGTCGTATGCTTTTCTCGACAAATAGATAGACGAAGGACGCCTATAAGCTATTTAGCAAACTATATGGGTAATTTAAGCCCTTTTCCGATCTCAATACTCGCTTCCTCTTTTGTGGTCTAATTCGTAGTTTTGAATTTTAATTTAGTCAAACATAAAAATCTATATTATTATAAAGCATAAATACAAAGTCGGTTTACAAAAATAACCTTATAATATTAAGCATAATAACTCATAATAAAAGGACATAACCGGAATTCTACATATTATCCTTATAATCCTATTAATTTTAAGACATAATACTACATGTTAGGAATCCTATTAGTATAAATTGTATACTTATTTTCTCTTATGTAAAGTTTGTACTCGAATTGGATTATCGTATAAAACTTTCTTTATTATAGTATCTAAAGTTTATCTTTTTTATTGTTTATTTATTATTGTTTCTTTAATGCCTAGCTCACTTAGAATAATAACTTGTATGTCTTAATCATATAATTCCAATTAATATAAGTCTGGAAATCGAGGGAAAAAAATAAGTATGGAAATCGCCTTATGCAGATTTCGAAAGGTGTCTAATACGTTCCTTTTTTTTATTTAATTTGAACCCTTTTTAACTACAATATCTTTTGTGTTAATTATTTTAATATTTAATATTTTAAATTAATAAAATTTTACCTATTAAATTTTTTTTTAAAAATATGCATGAAGGTTTAATAACTAATTTTATAAAAATCCCCAATATTAACAATACATTACCACTCCATAATGTTCAACACCATAAAAATATAAAAGTAATGTTAAATAGACTGCATAAAGTGTTGAAATTGAGAAAAAAATATCTCCATAATATATTTCTATATTATATTTGAACTGATTTTCTACTCAAATAATATTTTTTATTATTAAATATAAAGTAAGAACATATCCAGTATTCAATGTCTTCTTGTTTCGTGTTGGAAACAAAGAAGAACACCCAATAAAAGATTTTGGTTCTTCCTGAACACTTGGTTATCAATCCTAATGGTAATAGTAGTGTATTTAATAAGAGAAATATTTTCAATAATAAAAATATTTCTACCATTAGATTAAAACGCAATTTATGCAAATCACATGATAGAATTAAAAAGATATCTAGCTAGTAGAAATGAATATGTTGATCAACTAAATAAAAAGTTGATTGCTGAATTTTATAGTAAAAACAAAATATTTTTTTTGCTTTTGACTCAATAGAAAATGATATCAATAATTACTACCAAGAAGAATACTACCAAATGGCCTTCTACCATACATGTTTGTTATTAAGTTTATTATTTCTTACATATGTTAGTGTCACCGTATATATAATAGACTAAGTTGAAATTGACTTTCCATTGTATATAGGTTGATTTTGAAGAAAAATATGCCTGTCATGCTACTGAAAAACTTAGATACGCCGAATAGCTTATGTGATAGCACACAGATGGTATATAGAAGTTTTGATAATAACGTCATACATGCAAAAATTATGATACCGGTTAATGTGTTCCTAAGTATATTCTTATCCCTGAATTTAACTTTTGTCTTTCAAAAGTAAGGAATATCTTTTTAAATTTGTGTGAAAATAATTGTTAGTATGTTTATGTTTTACAAATATAATAAATAAAGTACAAGGACAAACATCCTAAGTATTGGACTATATTTATCGCAATATATTTTCTTGCACGAACAGTTGTATGTTGCACTTTCAAGAGGGGTATCAAGATCGGCAACAAGAGTTCTGGTTAAGGTGGAACAACCAAAGCATTCGGAGGAAACATACACAAAAAAATATTGTCCACAAAGAAGTGTTCGTTAATATACGATCACATTAAATACTCTAAAACTGTAATACATAATTATCTGACTAACATGATAAAATTAATTATTTGTGTAAGTTTTGATGTTGTCCTTTTATTTTAAATTCATGTATTATGCTAATGTAATAATATTGTTCGGTATTTAAATAATTGTTGTATTATTATATATAAAATTCTTTTATTAATTAAATTGTATTGTTCTTTCATATAAATAAATATTTAAATCATCATGTGCCATTATTAACGTGCAACGCACGTTTATAAATACAAATACAGTTTAAACAGTAGATAAGACAAGTTCAACTACAATATTATGAATCTAACACGAGTTACTCACATTAAGGTCGCATAATTTTCCTTTTTATTCATCTATTAGTAACTTTTGGAACTAAAAGGCGATTACACTTCTTAAGGTTTTATATAAAAAAGAATAGCTGCGCATAGAAACAGCAGGAGAGAACTTATAAGAAGTGCAATTTCAAATAAGCACTGATTTTCTTTTGGGACATAACGATCCAGCACTAGAAGAGATTAATAGAGCTTGATTGTTCCATATCACTGTCTTCTCTGTTAATATCGCAGGGGAAAAATCTTCTATATGGAAGGGACGAATGAAAATCATTTTGTTGCCGAAGTAGTTCCATTCCAGGCATGAGAGGCAGCAAATTAACAATGGCAGCATGCGGTAACGACCAATAACTTGCTGCAAAATGTGGAGACATCATTGATGTTCCAAGTCCGAAAAAGGACCCAGCTGCTACCCTTCGCATTACGAGCACGTGAGGATTAAATTGGAGAGTGCTTTGCATCATTTGTGAGATCACATTGGGTATATTGTTGTTGTTGCTCTGCATCATTAGATTTCTCGCAAGCAAATTGGATGCAGGAAATCCATCCATTGACATCACCTAGCAAGCAAGTACATTAAATTAATTAGCAAACTTGTTATCTATCCCTCTTCTTGGCTAATAGAGGAGCTAGAAATTTTAATAAGAGGATTAAAAATAGAAGGCAAGAATACGAAAAACTTGGACTTGAAACTACAAAAAGACTTTAGAATCAATGATAGATAGACAAGACTCAAGAGATACACAACCGATATATACATATCTCTCAGAAAAGATACTATAAAATAAAAGAGCAAATGGATCTTATCCCCTGTATCAAACACTCATTCCTATCTATTGATAGAAAAATCTTCGTCAAATATCGGACTTTGCCTTTTCTTAGGAATTACTAATATCCAAAGCTCGCTGAATTAGAGACTTTACACACCAAAAATACTCTAAAATGACGGCATTTGAGCTTGGATGGCGGCTCAAGATCAGCTTCACGAAAACCTTATATTCCCCGAGGAAGTTTTACCACATGGAAAAACGATCTTTAATCGAACTTTAACCTTAGCTGCTCAGAAGCAATTTTGTAGATTCATTTGTTGCCCTACTAAAAGCTTATATTTGGGCAACATATACATATTTTTCGATGAAGGGGGTTCAATTAAACCTTCTTCCAACCATTTAGCTTTAGCCTCGGTCCTAGTCATCGCCCCAAACAACACACATTGAGACATAAAGGATGAGGGGAGTAACCTGAACTTGGTGTTGTAGGGTTTGAATGTATTGTATGGCCTGATCAAGCACTGAGGCTCTACCTGACTGGTCAAAACAGCATATTTAGCCGACATTAGAAAACATTAAAAAGCTGGGGAAAAGTTAGGTAAACCAATATTAGAACTGCATGCAAACAAGAGCATTAATCTTTATAAAGTTTAAATGGAACAAAGGGGATTTCTATTCTTTTGCAAATTCTAGTTGAGAAGAAAGCAATGTACTGAAATAAATTATTTCATATTTAGAGAAGTTTTAAACAAACAGAATAATTAACGTGAACGAGTAATATCTACCTTGTTACAGTTGGGGATTAGTTCCTCCAGAACCTTCACCCTTTTCGCAATCCGTTGTCTACGTCTCTACATGTATATATGACACAAATATAAATTAAAGAAGCATATGTAATTTCAAGATACATAATCTCTAAATTCATATTCATTAACACAAAATGTATAACGAGATGATATTTCACACTTACCAGTAACCATACTATGAGTAGCCATGACTCGTGAGACTGACATAAACCACGTTCAATATATAAGGAACTATCCATCTATCTTACTGGGTATACTATTTATAATAATTGCTATAGGATTGAGGCCTAATAACTTTATACCTCTACAGTAATTAATTAAGAAAAAAAGAAGGTAATTCAAGAAAGACTGACCTTCTCACTCATTTTATGCATTTTTACAAAACTTGCTCTTGAAGGCTGCAAACCATCTTCATTCCTTCTTGATGTTCTCCCACTTTCATTAGCCTGATAATAACAGGATTATAATCAAATTATAATATAGTAAAAATACCACTCCCTCTGTTCCAGTTTATGTGAACATATTTTCTTTTTGGTCCGTTCCAAAAAGAATGACTCTTTTCTAAATTTGGTAATAATTTAGCTTAAACTTACAAATCTACCCTTAATGAGAAGCTTTTATAACCACACAAATACTGTGAGCCCCATTTGGATTTGTTTAGGACCATAAATTCCAAAAGTTTTCATTTTATTCTTAAACTCCGTGCGCAGTCAAACAAGTTCACATAAATTGGAACGGAGGGAGTATTAAGTCACACGCACAGCGAATATTGAGATATGTTTGAGCTAAGTTAACTAGTTTTAAGGTTGAGGGCTAAATTGCTTGGTGAGCTCCCTACCTTTCACTGTTAAGGTGGAGGGTTCAAATCCTATTAGTAGTGTAATTAAAAAAAACAGTGAGCCAATTGTCATTACATACAAGGATGGGAACAACAAACTCACATCAAATTCAGGCACTAAATGCTCTATATTTTCTCCACATTTTCTCTTTAGCCCTCTTGATTTCCTATCTAGGCTTTCATGGCAGGGACTTGACCTAGTCTTCTTGCCTTGCTGTTGTGACTGCTGCAAATCAATCATAAGCTCGTGATTTTCCATCCCAGGGATACCTAAGGTTAGTAGAGTTGGTGGTGAATTATTGTCCAAAAAGTTTGTCTGAGAGACTTCATCTTCAACCTTTAAATGACTCAACGTTATTTTCTTACAAGCATCTTCATATGCTGAAGAAGGAAAGCTTAAGTCCCACTTTGATATTTGGTCACTCATTTTGGAGCAATAACAGAGAGAGACAAAACTTGGTTGGAATAAATGAAACTATCCCCAATAAATGAAGAAGTTATATATATGCAGGGGGGGATGGGATGTGGGAAAGCGAAGCCAACCATCTTCCTGGAAAATAGGAAATCATTGGCGGCTACCTATTTATATTAAATCATACTTAATTTAATATAATTAGTAAATATAATTAACAAGTTAAATTTTATCAAGAGTAGAGAAAAATAATTCTAGGTCATCCTTTATAATTAGGTTATAAATATGACATGCAAAAAAAAAAAATGACATACACGTCTAATATAGAAGATATCAGAAAAAGATGGAGTTCCTTTCATTTTAAAATTCCTATAGCACTACTATTACTAGAAGCATCATCTAAGAAAATAATCAAAACTTTGTCACTAACTGCATAATAATCGCTAATTTAAAAAAATATTTTTTTAATTAATACTCCAATGTGCCTTTCACCAATGTACTTATCTATTAAAATCATTTTATTTCACTTATTATTTATATATTTACATATGTACTAATCAAGGGGTTTCTATCTCTTGACCTCTCAGAAAGAAATGAAACACAAATGCCTCTCAAGTAGCTTTTATTTATAACATAGTAAATGGGAACGAATACAATTAAGTACCTTTTATTTAGAGTATTGAAATTGCCTTCCGATCTTTATCGCTCTTGAGGCTTCATTCGAGCTAACTCTGTATTAATTGCAACTAAAGCGATATTAGTTAATTAATTGTAAAACACAAATGATATTTAAAAACCAACAACTAAGCAATTTTGTACATTTGAAATAGTTGAATCAAGTGGAGCTTTAAATCATAGCACGTAGATGCAGTATTTAATTTACACTGGAAGGGGAAAAAAATTACCATTTTAAATTTATCCCATAATTATTTTTATCTGTTGACCAACCAATTCAACAAAATTAAGCAGCTATATACGAATAATGACCAGTTTAGCTAGGTACTGGTTTTTTCCCTTAAACGTTTAATATATAGAATTCTAAGTCTTCAACATTTTTTTGTATTTTTCACACCCGTCTTTTTTAGTGAAGAGTTGCAATGGGGTGTTAATTTTAAGCTAGGGCTCCACCACATCTAATATTTTTTATGTGAAATTTAAATATATACGTGAAAAATTATAAAATTTCTACAAATATTAAATTTTAAATCTATAATTTTAAAGCTACTGGGAGTGCAATGCTAAGAGAATTAAATATCAAAGCCATGAAGTTCAAATTCTGAATTCACCACTGATAATTACCATGGACGTAAAAAGGATTTCTATAGAGCTCGAATTAATGAAAAAAATTGCATAAAAAACAGCAGTTCTAATATGATAATTTTACTAATTAAGCATTGTTTTACCTACAATATTGTGGCGGTTACTGAACCACACGGCTCTTTACAAAAATCCAAAAAATCATCGTTACGTAAATATACTAGAGAAGAATCATGAATAAAAAAATTAAGAATAATAAAGCATAACTTCTTACGGGTGCAAAAAGTAGAATCCGATGCCTGAAAAAACAGATCCCACAGTTCTCAATGGTGCTGTGCTTTACATTCTTTTTGAAAGAAAATAATAGTATTCCGTTCGCAAAAATGTTAAGATGAGTGGTGTACGTTCTTTTGGTTCTATTTTATTAGACAAATTTTTTTGGCGTTTAACGGTCCTGAAACATTATTCTAATAAACTTCACAGGAAACATACTGTAAAACATAATAAAAACAACAAATTTCCAAGCATGTAATAATCATAAAACAATATTTCACAAAGTGAATGCTAATATCTTACTAGCCGCAAGCCGCCCAATACTCCAAAATGAAGAGACACAGGATGTAGCGCAAAGATGCCGAAATTTTACGCTAAAAATTAACTCTCTTATTTTTGCTTGTCTTTTCAATGTCTATAATAGCCAAAAAGTAACACCCCGAAAAGGTGTTTAGAGGATCAAGTTTTCCATGTAGGAGTAAAATACAATCTGCTGAATTGAGCCTTTGGAGATTTCAGAAGAGCTAATTGATCTCAACCCATCAGATCAATTATTTTTATGTCTCAACGTAACAAAGGATGAAGGACGTGGGAACATTATTATGATAATACGTTCCTCATACACAATTTAATTAAGAGGAGAAATGCGACAACATTTGCTTCTTCTCTTTTGCTTTACTTATGAAGGGTAGCTTGAGAATCGTGTCATTTTTGTAACAATGCGGTGGCTATTGGAGAAAAGCCAAAACTAGCTCGCTGAGACATGTAGTCTTATCCTTATAGTATTTAATATTTATTATTTGTAATTTTTGCAAGTTTCAAATGTAATTCTGACGTCCCTTTTTCTATTATCCCTTTTGCTCGCACATGCAAAAACAGTATTTGATTAAAGCCATTTTTCTAATGCTTTTCATAAGGGAGTCATTTTTAGTGTTTTGTTATTGAGCAGTTAAATATTTATAAACCACTTAAATAAATCATTATTATCGAATGGGGGGAAATAATATCAAATTAATTTTTACTGAAGTCGTGTGCAAATTGTTGAAATTTGTAATAATCTCGTCTAAAAGCTTAAGATGTTATAGGGTAGACTTTCGAAGTCAAGCTTAAGTTGTTAGTTTGTCTCCTTAATTAACTATATAACCTTGGGGAATTTTACCTTATGGATATATTTTGGGTTGAATTAGATCCAAAATTTATAACAACTGCAAAGTGGACATGGATTTGAGTCCGATCAGCTATGCATTATCAAAAAGAATTTTTATATACTTATTCATGAAAAGAAATTAAGTCCGTACGTAGAAAGGCGTATTAAAAACATAATTAAGAAAACTGCAATATCTTCGTAGCTATTACTACTTGTTTAGTAATAGATTTTCATCTTTACGTAGTTAAGAAATACTACTGATAGGTCTAACTAGAGTGAGGATGATGTATACAGACGGTCCAACTAACTTAAAATTGAAGCATGCCGTTATTTGTAGCTATACCGTCATTTGATAAAATGAAAACATGAAGGCGTGAAATGGTGTGGATACTCGTGCTAGTATACTAGTTATACATGTCGTATCTATGCTTGCCCTCAAAACTTCACGTGATATTTCGGGAGCATCTAGACTTCTATTGTGGATACGTCAGAGCTCATGCATGACTATACCAGATTAAATTTCGGCAACCTAAGACCATTCCTTATATATATATATATATAATGCTGACGTAGATTCTCCAACAATTCTTTTTTCATGAAACACCAAATATGACAGGAACTGGACAATGTCTTGATGAACTTAAGAAGTATACCTTGCTGCTTTCGGCCCAATTTATATAATAGTATTTGGTTGAATACGTAATTTAAGAAGAAAAAAAGACTTATGAAATTTATTGTCTAAAATGAGTCATAAATATTAAATTTACTATAAATTATCTTATTAATAATAAAAAATAAAATTAGGGTAAAATTATTTTTAAATAAGAAAATATAATTCTTTTGGGTTAATTAAAAAGGAAAATACGTGTTACGATCCGAATTTTCCACCCTCGGGAGTCGTGATGGTGCCTACTCGTAAAAGCTAGGCAAGCCGCGTATTATAGGATCACTAAATCATTAACTAGCCCTTTTCAATAATTTAAACTAACATGTGATTAACAATAAAATATTAACGATAAATAAATACAAGCGGAAGACTTAATCTGATAAATTAACCATAATCAGTACGACAATGCCAACATACATCTCTACCTGGAATCCAGTGACACAATATCACGGACTGCCTACGGATTACTACATACAATGTCTAAAAGGAAATTACAATCTGTCTCGGAAGCAAATGAAAACAGAATACATATAAAGATAGAAGAGAACGCTGGGTCTGCGGACGCCTGCAGGACTACCTCGGGATCTCTAGCTGGACTGAAGGCAGCTACCCAATGCTACAGTCCAAAAGCTGCCGCTCCGGGATCTGCACATGGTACAGAGTGTAGTATTAGCACAACCGACCCCATGTGTTGGTAAGTACCTGGCCTAACCCCGACGAAGTAGTGACGAGGCTAGGACCATACTACCAAATAAACCTGTGCAGTTATATAATATGAAGCGGAAAATAAAACAGGAATAAAAAAGTAGAGATGGGAGGGGGTACATGATATGGGGGAATATCAGTACTAACAGTAAATTAAGAGGAAAACATAAGAACAATTTAGAATTTACAGCAAAACAATAAGGACTTGTATCCAATCTATAAATACTTCGTATTATCAATTGTTGCGGCACACAACCCGATCCCAAAACATACTAACTCTGTTGCGGCGTGCAACCCGATCCATATCATTTATCACTGTTGCGGCGTGCAACCCAATCCAAATATAATATTGTTGCGGCGTGCAACCTGATCCAAATATAATATTGTTGCGGCGTGCAACCCGATCCAAATATACAGTTCAACACCAATCACAACAAGAGTCCCGACAAGGGATCAATAAAGAAACAACACTATCCTGGCAAGGGAATCCACAGTCTAGTAAATACGCCCCGGCAAGGGAAAATCAGCTATAACCAAACTTGTTCCAACATCTAACTACCTCAACTAGCACCAATACTCAATCATAAGTAATTTTCATGAGGATAACCATAATCCTTGTTCGACTTAGAGAATCAACAACTTAGGCATTCATAGTATTTATTCAAAACACAACAATTTTAATTTAAGACTCACGGTCATGCTTGACATCAACGTATAGATACTCGTCACCATGCCAATCCCAAGAAACTCCGGATATCTGTAGCTGATGCTAGTCTAGGCCAGTTCTTGACTGCCTCAATCTTCTTCGGATCAACCTGAATAACCTCTGCTGATACAACATGACCCAGGAATGCAACTGAACTCAACCAAAACTCACACTTCGAAAACTTAGCATACAACTGACTATCCCTCAATATCTGAAGAACCACTCTAAGATGCTGGTCGTGCTCTTCCCGGATATGGAAT